TATGAAGAAGATTTTGCTGAATTACATCCAATATCTAATGTACTTTAAGAAAGACTTACAGTAGTTTCAGTCAATTTTAGCAGTTAACTTTTTCATCTTGGTTCTGGAAAATTTTTAATTATTAACGTGAAACTTCTCTCAGACGTTGTAATTTTTGTACGAAATTGTGTAAATCCTTGAGAAAAAACTGAGGAAGAGTTGAATCATGTAGTTTGATCTGGAAATTTCAAAGAATATTGCTCTTATTGTTCATTGGATTTGAGATTCATAGGTAAATTCTCCCTGAACTGGACAAACAACCAGTTAATTACAGAAACAAAAGTTTAAAAATGGTAAATTTTGGATAGATTTAATTAGTTTATACTTTACTTTTTCCAAATAAAATACAAATTGAGCTTAGTTTTAAAACCTGCACAAAAGTATTTTTTCAACTAGGTGAGAGTAAAAAAAATTAGCCAAAATCTTGAGATTTTGCATTTTTTTCCAAAAATTTGATTTTTTTTCGAAGTTTCGGAAGTTTTGAAGCCTTTATGAGCTACCGCTCAGGTATTCAGAAAATATATAACCTGCTTCTGAACTCAAATTAGGGTAAATTTGATCATATTTCACTATTTTGAGAGAAAACAGTGGAAAAATCCAGATTTTTATTCAAAATTTTGTATCATCGCTTCAACATGATTCCAATTAAAATACAACATGAAGCTGTTTTTAAACTCTACACGTATGTGTTTTTTACCTTTAGATGACGATAAAAACTTTAACCAATACCCGAGATTTTTACAATTCCTTCCAAAAAACTAAAATTTTTGCAGTTTTCTCCAAAAATTTTAACTTTTTTGCCGTTTTTTCCAAAAACTTGAAATTTTTCGAAGTTGCAGTAAGTTTGAGTATAGTTTCAGGTAGAAAAAACACTGTTTCAAAAAATAAGGTTATCTAATAAAATAATAAATGGGCTGAAATACACCAAACTTTTTTGTTTACTGATGTCTGTTTTTACTAAAAATTATGGGACATTCTAAATCTCCCATTTATTCTCAACCTCAATCTTTACTTATTGAGATACCGTCACTGAATAGAAACGAAAGAATTGCAATTCTTGAATGTGGCAGAAATACACTCGCTCACACGCATCAAGACGATGTTTAACCTGTGGTGTTTTGAAGTGTTCGAACTGTAACTTTTAGACATATAGCAGCGGGGAACTCACCAGTCATTTCAAGAAAAAGCATTCTGCTTGTCAACTTTTTGTTAAATACGGGAAAGATGCTCAGCAGTCTCCAAACACACTCCAAGAGAAGACAAAATTATTATCTTCTCTTTATAGACATAGAAAATACTATGATTAAAAATTTTTACTGAATCTGAAAAGTCTATACAATTGTCATAATATTGAAATAATCGAGCTAGAATAATACATTTTTTTCATCACTGTTTTTGACCTGTCGTTATGTTTTTATTCAAAAGTTCTGACTGATGATAAAACTAGCTACAATCGAGTTCAACTTTGCCTAATTACGTTCTTAAAATTTTCCTTGTTTAGTGCTTAAAAAAGTGTTCATAGAGTATACTATTTTTAAGCAGATAAAAAAGGTTGAGTTATTAAGAACTATAGTTTTCTATTGTTTTTTTTGTTTTTTTGGCGTTTTTAAAAAAAAGAATTGATAACTGATCGAGAAAAGACAAAAGCATAGTTTTGCTAATGAATGAAAAATTCAAGATAATAATATACATCTTTCTCGACCAAACTTTTACATCAATATAAAAATCAGATTTGAAACAGCATCATACAGTTATCAGATCGAGAAAACAATTTGAAGATTTTCAGCAAAGGATTTGTGTTATTAACTTTGCTTCGAGTTGAACGTTCGTTGAAATGATACATTTTTCTATCTAAAATTCATTTCTCAGGTGAAGTTTTGTTCAATTTGGATTAAATTGGAACATAGTAGATGAAGCAGAAACTGAAAAAATTCTATTTTGAAACAGAAACTCAGTTTGGTTCATTAGGAGTTATGAAATCATTTTACTAAAGGTAGCTTATAAATTTTATTTTGAGAAAATTTCCCACCAAAAAGTCTCAAAGATTCAAATTTATATGTAATTTATTGGAACTTTTCTTTTCATATAGTAAATTTTTATGAAATTTTAGATTTTTTGAGGATAATTTTTGTAAATTAAATCCAATTCCGACATTTATTGGAGACCTTACTTGAAGCATAAACAAAAAATTTGCTTTCAAAATCTACATTTCCTTATTTTGAATAAAAACAAAAAATTGACGCAGAAAGATTTTAGAGAAAATAAAATAGCGCATGCTGAAATTTTCTAAGCAAACTGATACTTTAGCAAAACCAGATATTAATTATATGAAATAAAACATAAAAAAAATACATTTTTACATTCTCAATTTTTACATGTGCTTTTGAATGCTTTAACTAGCACCGATTTTCTCTCACTTAGACATTTTTGAGAAAACTTCCAAAAAAATCGTAAGTAAAAAGCGAATTCATAACTATTTTGCAATAAAATTGATAATTAATGATACCAAAAATTGTATTTTTGCATAAATGGTTTTTGTAGCATTTGAACAAGGGAAACAAAAGAAAAACATGTACAAATATTCTATTAATAGTTAGACGTAATCAGTTCTAGTTTCATCTCTGTCAGCAAATTGTTCGTTCAATTGATACTCTTGTCCTCCTTTTTTCACCACTTTTGACTAAATTTTCTTGCAAAGTGAGTTCTGTGGCAAAAACAACGCATTAAGCAGAAAGTAAGAACATTTTTAAAAGATGGAACATTTCTACGGAAAAAGTCTGAAAATTATGTTGTAGAAGCAATAGAGAGATAATCATCAGTTACGACGAAGATTTTGTTGAATTACATCCAATATCTAAAATACTTTTTAATAAAAATTTACCTCATTTTTAGTCAATTTTAGCAGTTAACTGTTAATTTTTCATCATGGATCTGAAATTTATTATTATTAAGGTGAAACGTTTCTCAGAAGTTGTAATTTTTGTACAGAGTTGAGTAAATCATTGAAAAAAAACTGAGGAAAAGTTGAATCATGTAGTTTGATCTAGAAATTTCAAGAATATTGCTCCAATTGATCATTTGATTTGAATTTCTTAAATAAATTCTCCCTGAACTTGACCAACAACCAGTTAATTACAAAAATAAAAAAAAATGGAAACTTTTGGATAGATTTAATTAATTTATGCTTTATTTTCTCAAAAACTACAACTTATTCTACTATTTTGGCGAGAAATCGGAAGTTTCAATTTTGATTCAGCTAATTTGAGCTTTTCCTTTTATTTTTCAGAGCTTTATTTAAACCGCGTTTTAGCTCAAACTAGGGTAGACTTCATACTATTTCGATATTTTGAGAAAACATTGGGGAAAAATCCATAATTTTTTTCACAATTTTGTATGATTTTCACTATATGATGCCAATTAAAAAAAGAATTAATCTTAGTTTCAAAGTTTGCACAAAAGTATTTTTTCAATTGGATGAAAGTCTGCATTTTCTGCAATTTTTCAAAAAAAATTTTGATTTTTTTGACGTTTCTGTAGGTTTGAAGCTTTTATGAGCTACCGCTCTGGTATTCAGAACTATATATAACCTGCTTCTGAGCTCAAATTAGGGTAAATTTGATCATATTTCAGTATTTTGAGAGAAAACTGTGGAAAAATCCCGAATTTTATTCAATGTTTTGTATCATCGTCTCAACATGATTCCAATTAAAATACAACTTGAAACTAATTTTAAACTTTACACGTATGTATTTTAACCTTTAGATGACGACAAAAATTTTAACCAATACCCGATTTTTCTGCAATTCTTTCCCCAAAACTAAAATTTTTGCAGTTTTTTCCAAAAATTTTGATTTTTTTGCAGGTCTTTCCGAGAACTTCAATTTTTTCGAAGTTGCAGTAGGTTTGAGCATAGTTTCAGGTAGATAGAGCACTGTTTCAAAAAGTAAGATTATCTAATAAAATAAAAAATAGGTTGAAATACACCCAAATTTATCGTTTTTTGAAGTTTCTTCGAAATTTTTTTCTATTTTTTTGGTAATAAATCCCATCTTTTGAAACTCTAAACATTGTTGGCTTACAATGTACCAAAATACTTAATACCTTAATTCCACAATCTACAAGTAAACAACTAATAATATTCAACAATTAGATAAAGCGCGCCGAGTTTTCTGCGAAAAAACAAAACATTTCCACACACAATCCAAAAAAAATCGTTTTTCTTACCATTCTCTTACCATCACACAAACCATGAAACCTTTCCATTTTTACTCCCTATCTTAATACATCGTAGACTCTATACCCAATGTTAATACATAGCATGGGAGACCGAAAATCTGTAGAGTATCTTAATACATGAGGTCTCCCATGCTCCCCCCCCCCCAACCCACCGCCCGACTTTAGCCTCAACAACTAATACTAGCCAGCCCTCAAACATTCCCAAGTAATCAAGCAAAAATTGGGTAACATTTTCGGTACTAATTCTGATATAAAGTGTATTTCAGTTACTAAAACAAAATCTGGCGCAGAAAGTATTGCGTTTGGCAAGATCATTTTCTTTAACGAAAGTGAGTCGGTTGAGAAAAAGTTTTGATTGTTTTTGACGCCTGTGAACCAAATCTACCGCATTTGAACTCACAAAAAAACAGAAGCAAAAAGCATCCAATTATTGTTGAGTGACTTTATTTTTTGTACCCGATGAAGACTCCAAAGACAAAATTATTGCAAAAACAATTTGGCTTCAACTATACATCCGGGTAACAAAAATGGTAGTCATACAAATCCTTTTCTTATGGAAATTTACAGACTGTAAACTGACTATACTTTTTTTTAAATCACGGAATTGTATGAGTTCCATTGTCGGTATATTGAGGGCAAACCGGGCTGATTTTTTTTTAAAGATTGATTTTCTATTAATGAAAATTGGCAAAAAAATGTCGATGAAAGTTTTGCCATCGTTTCAGGACAAAAACACTGTGGCAAGGAGATCACAACACGGCAGAATATTTGAACCATGTACAATGTTCCGATTTGCAAAAAGAGGAGCTTTTTTGTATTGGACACCCAGGATTCTGTGCAAAAATGAACGAGTACACTCGGCAAGGGAGGCCCAATGATGGAAAACTTTGTCGGTTGTTTAACGGATCGGACAAATGTGAACTACATAAATATGCGGACGTTTATGACTTCATATTTCGAGATATACGACACGAGGAAATGGAAGTGCTTGAAATCGGGATTGGATCACAGAGTCTCCAGTTTACCTTCACCATGTCGTCAAAGTTCACCATCGGTGCTTCACAACGTGCTTGGAGGGATTATTTCCCCAAATCCCAGATCTATGCGGCCGATATTGACCCAGACGTTCTTTTTGAAGAGGAACGAATCAAGAGTTTTTATGTCGACATCCTTAAAAACAAAACTCTCGACGAGATGATAGTGAAAATAGGGAGCAAGCTGGACATTCTAGTTGACGATTCGCTTCACAGTGTGGAAGGCCAGAACAACTTGATTTCGGTGGCCTATGAATGGATAAAGCCAGGGGGCTATTACGTCGTTGAAGATGTAGTCATCGATACTATCTGCACTGAAATGATCAAGACTCTTCTGAAGAAAGGCATAAATGACTTTGCTTATGTTAAAACAGCTGACACCCATCATAAAGACAGCGTCTTGCAAATCATCCGAAAACCCGACCACCACTTAAACTAGGCTCACTTTCAACTCACTCGAATGCGGCCATTTGTATTTTGATAAAAAATCATTTAAAAGTGTAAATTTTGTTACTAAAACAATTTTTGTTGTAATACCCAGCTGTTGTTGGAAAATGAACGAAAGTTATGTTGCGTTTATGTTTTCCATATGATCTTTTCTGCTTCTTCATGTAAATATATAGTAAATCCTATAGTTTTGAACAAAAACTTGTACAATTGAAAACCTTCTTCTGCACTGTTGCATTGAATTCTCCCAGAATTAGCGAAAATATTGGAAATATGGGTTGTAGGTTTACGGTTACAAACTCTGGGGTAATTTTAAAGTTGGTGGTGGAAGATACAAGTTTTTTTAAGTTCGAGTAGCTTAAGAATTTGAGAAGCACCATACAATCGGTTTTCGAGTAGCTAAATCTTATATTAAATTCTACTCGACATCTTATTTTCTGGTCTACTCGAAATCTGTTATATGGTATACTCAAAAGCTGTTTGTTTAAAGTACTCAAATTATGATTGTATTGTCTTCTGGAAATCTTATTTTATTGACTGTAAAAGTAAACTTCTAAGCCATTTTTCGCACAACATTTTTGGGAAAGTTTGATGCAAAAAGTGCAGAAAAAGTTTAATTTGTACATTCAAAATTATTTTTCAAAAATTATTTTCAGCATATGCTATAGACCATATCATGGTATCATGACAACTTCATTTCTGATAAAATGACAATCTTTTTCGTGTAGACCTCGAGTAATAAATTTCCCTGCCTATTGAAAAAATGAAATATGATAGGTAACGAGGTTTAAGACTTGATATGTTGAGGATCTGTACTACCGGATAGTGGACTTTTGTCTAAGACTAGATTAAAAATCGGGGGTTAATAAGACTACGCTAGGTAAATTAGAGGGTTTAAAAAGGTTGAATTAAGATGGGTTTTGATAACAAGATTAGTTGCAGTAAAAACGTTTAGTGACTCCAACTTCAGATATGCCAAAAATTGTTCCGCTTTCAGCAGGTGTTTGACTAATTACAAATACGAAGAAGCAACTTAAAGGTTAAAAGGTTGGTAACAAAGGAAATCTTTTTTGACATTCTCCGCGAAAATTTAATTGAAGTTTACTTATATTTTTCACTCACAAGTAGTATGTTAGGGCAAAGAGGTGAATTAACGGAACAAAACGCCCGAGGATGTCGCCCAATGGGAGAAGTATCTAGCACTCAAGTGATTCGGGATAATATCAATCGGCTAACCGAACCCGAAAACAAATTTACAATAACTAAAGTAGTACTAATGTTGATTTAAGGTTAATCCAGGTAAAGCACCACCTTTTCAAATGAGCTAGTTTTAGGAATGAACTTTAAGGTTAAAATCTAGAGTTAGCGCCAAAAAAGAGGAAAGAAAAAAAATGATATTAGAAAAGAGTTTGAGTTTATGGTTAAGCAAAGTTTATGCGGCGTCACAGTTTGAGGCTCTGGTTTCTGTCCGTTTCCTGAGTTCGTCAAGAGTCATAGAGAGATCCAATAGCTCAATTGCTGCATTGATGAAAGTTGTAATAAGCCAGTCAGGATTGTTCACAATAGGCCTATCCATAACATCTGCAGGTTAGGAGGGTAGGCCCGATGGGTTAAATTCGGTCTTCTGCACTTCGTCCTCCGTCTTCTGCACCGATTTAAATTGAACTTTCTTAAGAGAACGGATTGGTGAGAGCGCTAAAAACGGGTTTTTGTCCATTGGTTCAGTTCCACATTCCGTAAGGTTAACTGCGGTCGGTTGTCGCGGAGAAGAAGTTGGTGAAGAAGTTCGATCAACGACATCTATTTGGCGGCTTTCCGATTGTATTAGCTTCTGAAGTTGTAGTGGATGGTGGAGTTTTTACGTAGGTTGGCGTGTGTTCTCCTGGTCTATTGTCCGAGGTTTTGACCAGGCTAGTAAATACTCTCTCTCCGAGTAACAACGGCGGTTGCTTGGTCAGAAGCGGTCTGGTGTTGTGATGAATGTGAAGATCTGACGGTTTTCTAGGAGGCGGCGATGTCATAGGCGAAGAGGCTTTCCGTTCAGCCATATAGCCGTTAATTTAGGTTTGGACAAGCTCTGGGCGGGGGTAAGGTGGTTCTTAGTCTGGTTTTCTGTGTGTTTGCCTTCGTTATACTCGTTTGCAGCTCTGTGGACTAAGAAGTTGTTGTGTTGGTTCACTCTGGTTTTTTGCTTTCAGCAATTAATTTGATCGGTTTTTATCAGATTTATCGTGGGTGTTTATCGTGGGTGGTTGCGCGCTGGTCTGAGTTATTGTGCCCTGAATCTAGGTCAATCGGCCCATGACAAGTATTTTGCTCCTTCTCTATGTTTGATTCGTCTTCTCGGGAATTTCCTGTTTGATGTTTGTTGGTTCTTGCGCTAGCTGACCTTGTTGATTTTCTAAATTACTTCTTACAAGTGGTTTCAGATCTTTAAGTAAATTCATATATTGTTTCAATTGATGGTTTCGTCAATGATATGTCGGGTGTGTACGTTGTTTGTGGACGGATGGGTTGGCCCAGCGGGCTTATTTTTTGACAGCTTTCTAAGCAAATAAGGTACCTTAGGCGTTTCCTTTTCTCCTCTTCCTCTCGTAGCAGTGTTTCCCTCGAGCTGTCCATTGTCGCATTTCGCCACATTGAGTTAGTTCTTCCGTCGTTCTTCACTGGTTCATTGAGTTGGTTCTTCTTGCGAGGGCTAATTTTCTTCGGTGCAGAGGGTCTTTTCACGGCTAAATCAGATTTACGAACTACTTTCTCCTTTTAAGCGGAATTGTATGATCAGATTCCCTTACTAATTCTTCTTTAAGATTTTATAGTATGGTTCGTCTTTCGTTCTATCTTGCTTTTTCTTTAGATAAGGTTCTTACCCGATGGGTTACTCAAGATGGGATTTTCCACACCTAGGGCTTTTCTTTTCTCTGCGCGAGAGAGGACTTTGACAGGGGAACCGGAGCTTGTGGGTACATATCTAGTTGCATTAGATATGTCGTCCGGTGAGGATGATTCTTCGTCTAGGTGTCCGTCTTCAATGTCATCAGGAGCATCTCAATCATGTCGTCTGTCCCGGCACATTATTTTTTGTCCATTATCTAAACATAACAATGTTTTGTTCCAACCCAGGTTTCTTGACAATGGAAGTCTTACTGAATTGTGCCAGATCGTGTTTGGGAATCTACCGAAGTGTGCTTCAAAAGGGGAGTAATTTAGTGATTGTTGTGTTACGGTTCTCAAGCTTTTTATGATGTTTAGTAATGCAATTTCTCAGAAAGGTTTTGGTATTTCTTGCTCCATAACCATGGTGCAAGAAATAGCAAAAAGTTCCTTAGAAATGAGTCGTTATTTAATTGTTATAATTAGTCGCTCGACCAGGCCCCTAGCTCTATGGTCACCCACTGGACTGAATTTGACGTTAAAGTTTTGTTCTTGACAAAACTATCGAACTTTCTTAGAAATAAATCCCGAGCCATGGTCCGTTCTAATAGTTCTGGGTATTCCGTGAAAAGTTATGTATTTTCTAAGAAAGTTTATTACCGATTTTGCAGATGTGCTTGATGTTATTTGTGCCGATGAGAGTTTGGATACTCGATCAACGCATACGAGTATTTATTTTTTCCCCAAGTTAACGGTAGCGGGCCAGCAAAGTCTAATTTCTTTTCTTGATTTCGTTCAACGTTCGGTGGGAGTTTTTCAAGGTTATCATGTTCTGTCAGTGGCTTCAAATTTTTACCTGCTTTCACACACTCGATACAATTCTCTCCATGTACCTGAGTTCCTCTGTAAAATTTTGGTCACCAGATGTAGAGGGTTGACAGACTTTTCAATGCAATCTGGCCTTGGTGAGCTTCATGTAATCTGTGTAGCATCGTCGTGCTCAAGCATGCCGGTATAACCAGTCTATCGTCAAAGTAAAGGCATCCTCTGTTAACATGCAAGTTGTTGAGGTAAGGTTTGTAATCGTTTCCCAGTTGTGCTATGTCATGTTTTCTGTCTTCTTCGATTGCTATTTTAGTTTTCTTCGAAACCAGTTCTCGCTTTGTTAACATTGCCATAAATTTGGAATCAAAGATTTCAGGCCATGATAACGGGAATAATTTGTGTTTAAGTGGCTGAGAATTTTTTTTACCGGGAGTTTGCTCAGAAGATGTACCCGACGTGTTACTAGTTTTGGGTTTTAAGGTTTGGACATTATTTACAGTTGAATTTTCAGGTTGTTCGTTTACTTCTAGTTGATCAGACATGAATTTTAAAGTTTTGATAGATTGGTAATTAGAAAAATTGATAGATTTACAAGATGGAATGCAGTCTTCTGTTCGCGAATGTAAATTTTGACACACTGAAATTTTGGAATGTGTAAATATAGTTTGCAAAATTTCTGCAGCATCGCAATTTGTTTCTCACGTTCTTTTAATTGACTTGTCATGTGATAAGCCAATTGGTCAATCACTTTGCAGTGTATGACGTCATGAGAAAAAAAATTTGTTGTGAAAGGTTGTTCCTTAGTTGCGGACGAGAATATCTAGGCATCAGATGTTCGAAGCCTAAAAGAATGCTTATTTGGTTGACGGAAGCAAAAACGAATTTTTCGTCATCGTACGAGACTGGTACGGGTTCACTCGATGGGTGTCTCTAAAAGATAGTTCAACAATCCCATTTCTCTACCCGGGAGATGCTCAACAGTAAACTCAAACGGTAACAATTTATCTACCCAACAGGTGAGGCGAGGTTGAGCCGTCTTTGTATATATATTATCTTTTATAGCCCCTATTAAGGCTTTGTGATCGGTTAGAACAGAGAACTGTTTACTCAGCAATTAGTTTTTAAAATGGTATAAAACCGAAGCTAAACCCAACAATTCAAGTTCGTTCGTGCTGTAATTAAGTTCAGTTATATTGACGAAACTACTCGCGAACGCTACAGTCTTCCAAATTCCCCCATGGTCTTGCTCGACGGATGCGCCCAATCTTGAATGTGATGCATCGCATTCTACTCTTGTATTTAGATTAACGTCAATTTGGTGATTTGTGACTGTATTTCAGATTTCCTTCTTGGTTTTTTCGAACGCCTCAATGTGCACCTCGACCACCTG